AGAAATCTTTAGGATTAAATTGAAAAGTAGGTTTCACTGTGTCAGGTGTTTGCCTTGGGAAGAGATTCCAGAGCCACATCTTACTGCTGGAAAGAAAACCTTATCCTCCTTTCCATGCTAATGTTCACCTCACCCACCAGTGAGGTGCACGAGTGTGTCAGAACGGAGCGTCCGTGGGCTCTTTTTGCATCGCTTACATCATCTTCCTGAGCGTTAAAACACTAAAACAGGCTCGAAACGAGAACCAGAGTGTGACTGGCTGGGCCGGCGTTGGAGGGCCATCTCCATGTGGGTGTGCACAGGAGTGTTCAGGTTTGGTGTCTGTCACTGGGAGCTTAGGGAGCCTCGTGGGGTGCAGGAGGGAGCACCAGGCCCAGGTGGTGTCAGCTCTGCAGCCTGGCAGCTGAGCTCAGGGTGGCTCAGGGCCCCAGACACGGATTTTAGGAGCCCCAAGTTCCCTGTGCCCAGACTTGATGAGCCCGAGCGGCCTGGGGTTGTGTTGTTGTGCACGTGCAGGAACTAGGCTCCCTCAGGATCCTTTGTGCTCCTTTCTGCTCAGCTGCAGCCTACAGTGCCCAAGTGCTCCAGCCCTCACTGCTGTCCTGGTTTTCCTCCTGGTTGTAGCTTGGCACCTCAGAGGAGCGAGGATGGCTCAGGAGACAAACCAGACGCAGGTGCCTCTGCTGTGCACCACGGGCTGCGGGTTCTATGGCAGCCCCCGGACCAACGGGATGTGCTCCGTGTGCTATAAGGAGTTCCTGCAGAGACAGCAGAGCAGTGACCGGATCAGCCCTCCAGGTAGAGGATTTTTGTCTTGAGGAATTTGTCTTCAGTGGGTGTCTGGATGCAAACTGTGTTCAGCAACTGGGACAGAGCACAGCACTGGTACTGGCCACCAGCAGATTTATTCCCTTCTGGAAAACCTGTGTCTTTACCTCTCTGTGGATACCCAAAACTCTAAATCAAGGACCCCTCGATCACTTCTGTTCCCTGTCAGGCGGCAGTTGTTTTCTTCCCAGTCCCACCAGTTTGTGAAGCCCCATCCCATTCAGCACCTTCCAGTACACTGTCAGACTTCCCTTGTGCTAAGAGGGACCCCAGGTTTTAGCTGTTCCCTGAGTTTTGTGCTGAGTGCTGAGAACCATAACAGAGCCCCACAAGGAAATTTTATTTGGGAAGAATTTGGCCTGTTTGGTTTGTATCATTTTCTTACCAGACAACCAGAAGCCATGACAGAAAAGGTTTCCTGCAGCTAAACATGACTGACATATCCCTGAGCTGGGAGCATGGGAAGGACACTCTCTCCATCATGAGCAGGGTTTCTTTTGCTCTGCCCTACGTGCAGTGAGAAATGCCTTCGAGAGCTCTTCCAGTTTGTTCCTCAGTGTAATCATGGCTTTCCTTGAGTGACCCACCCAAAATGTGCATCAGGAACACATCCCTTCCTGACAAAGGATTTTCTTAAGACCCTGACTTAGATCCTCAGCTGACACAAACGACTCTGTTGAAACCAGTTGCTTTCAGCAGATGAGGATGTGGTTCTTGCACCTCAGAGAAGCTGCAAAGTGACGTTGGGTTCAGGACCCAGACGCCCTGATGTGTTATCCCCGTGGAGGCCTTTGCACAAATTTGAAGAGGAGAGTGTAGGAATGGGGATATGGGAGTGATCCCAACCAGAGTGTGCCCTCCTGGCTTCCGGTAGGGAGCAGGAGGTTAAAGCCTGCTGAGAACTAATTCTGCTTTGTCCTTGGCTGTCAAGGACCCAAAGAGCTTGCTATCGTTTTCCCAAGACTTCACCAAGACTCTGATCTTGTCTCATAGCACCCAGTGGTCCCAGCAGCAGCCCCATGGCTTCTGAAGCAATTGCAGGGCAGCATGCAGAGGGAGACTCCACAGCTGAGGATGCAAAAGCCAGGTAAGGGCATACCTTACAGCCCTGCTAAAATCCATCTCTGGGACACAAGGGATAGCCTTCATGTGGCCAGTGGGCTCTGTAAATGGGCTGGATCAAACTCTGCATTGTGACCCTTGCGTATTTGGAAGATGGGGATGTCTCTGGTGATAATGGTGATGATGAGATGATGACTGATGCGTGGAGTGAGGTACCAGAGGGTTGGTAGTAAATCAAGTGGCATCTTGGTTCTCTTGCAGGCAGTGCACCTTGTCTGTTCAACTGTTCGGTTTCTCCTCAGTCCCAAGCAGTGGGATTGCTGGGCTTGTCCTGTGCAGGACAGGAGTTAGATTTCATGATCCTTGTGGGCTTCTTCCAACTCAGGATAGTCTAGCATTCTAAGTGAAAGCACCTGGTGATGATCCAGTCTGCAAGCTGTGAGAGCAGGATTAGGGACCTCAGGCAGGTTTGATGGGAAAGAGGATAGTGCTGTGCTGAGCTCTGCCATCATATTACAGTCCTG